AGGTGCCCATCGTGTGCCCCAAAATAGGATGGGCGCAGGAAAGGTGAATTGCGAGGGAATTGGTCTACAATAATAGTAAATTTGTGTAGAATATATCTCGCTCTCTTCGCCCACCCTCCCGGGCCCAGCGTCCGGTCAAGCAGACAGGAGACCGTATCAGGTGCAGGCGCAGTATGAACTTGCAAACGGACATACCATTAACACCCCCTTGCCGTCAGCGCATGTCCCACACGCCACACCACAAAATAACGGGGGATGGCTCGGATCCCAAGCGAGCGAGAGAAGCTTAGAAACCACGTCAAAGAATCATTGTAGTCAGAATCTACGTTCTTATAGGGGTGACAAGTTATTATGTCTGTTAGCAGCCTCCCCAGATACGACGTTTAGTGCATCGGCATAAATTCAAGCGTATCAGAGGACAAAATACTGACGGAGACTACTGATTCCGATGATTCATGCATTAACCGGCGTATCGAGTTGGATGGAGTGTACAAACATCTCAAAGAAAGGTGGAAGAGACCACAGCCGAAAACTATGGACCAACATGAACTGCAATTAGCACCCACACCGGCTGACCCGGACTGACCCCGGACAAACGCAAATTACAGTTTCCAATTAGCCATTACGCCATTACGACTACTAATTATGTAAATCACCACGGCGTGACGCAAATTGCAGCTACCAATCAACACGCACGCTAAACGACTATACAGCTGTACCAGCACTTTGAAATGTTAATTGTTTTTTGCACAGTTTCTCAAGTCTGATGACGACCCGGGGATCCAGTGTCCAAAATTTACTGAATAAAGTTTACTCATTTTCCCAAAGGACGCCTTTCCTTGAGATAACGTATTATTTATTTCCAGATAGCAGAAGTCCCCAATGTCATAGGTTGAGTGGACCTCACGACAGAAACATGCGGGCTATCATTTCACCTGAACCCATCCCTGCCAGAGGCCGATACCATCGAGGTAGCCAATTGAACACGCAACTAAAGCCAGCTTTCAAGGCATATTTTGGCTTTGCTTTGGTCGGTCTGTGTGGTCGGTGTGTTAATTGCCTATTGTTGACCGACATTAAGTCACTTTAAGTCACTTAAAGTGACTTAATTCGTGATGTAGTAAACCTGCAACCTTAGGTAGACTAAATAAGCATTGATTTAGGACGCCGCAAGCACAAAATTTAACACAGTTGTTACATTTTCAGACTTAGATGCGAGACGTAAAGAAGACACAGGACTGTGCAGAATGACGAGTCGCAGATTCTATGACGGCATTAAATCGTCAGACTATTAAGGGAAGGGGATAGATAGATGTTCTCAATGTCAATTTAATCAGTCAAAATAAGGGGAAAAATATGAACATGTGTGTAAAGAAAACAAGAGTTAAAGTTATAAAAAAAACGTATTCAACTCACTTCATACTCACTCGCTTCTTGTTCCTGGCGTTCTAACTCCTCCTGAACCCCCGGCAGAATGTCATTATCTACGTCAGTAGAGGCGTCGGACCCGCTCAGCGAATCAACCTCATTCATAAGTTCATCTATATCCATTCTGGCGGCTTAAAAAGACAAGAGAGAAATTATTTTCTAAGCAGTTGTCGACATAGCTTAGCGATGGGACAGCCAAACGTGAAGCGACGAGGATCGGCGATATGAGACCGCTCGGCGCAATGATTTTCAAGTTCTACTTTTGTTCTCACTCTAATCCACTAAGAAGACGTGTTATGGAACACTACTAAAAAATTGATCGACAGGAAGTAGTATCAACTTTGGAGGGAACGAACGCAACTCGCGCGTTGGCTGAGCACGTAGGGTTGAAAATGATTATGCAGTCAGGGCAAGGAAAACAAAATCTAGCAAAACAAATGGAACCAACCAGGGTCGGTAGGAGATTCCATAAGTGGGCGTGAGGCAGCCGACTACTATTTGGGTTCGATCACGCTCTAGTTTACATGCACACGAAAACTCTCTCCAAGTGCACCTCAAAGTCTTATATTCGACGCCTTAATCAGTGAAATTACGAGTTCACACACCTAAGACTTAAAACGAAAACACGACCTGGTTTTGAAGCCCAAAGAGTAAAACCCGACAGTGAACAGACACTGAAATCCAGGGTCTACAAGACAAATTCAAGAATCATAGGGTGCACCCAACGATTGCGTAGCGATTCAATTTATCCTCTGAACTGTGTACAAACGACTGGGACTAGATTGCGCGATTGTGGCTCATTCCATCGATTTCTCTGATTGACAAACGCCTTCTGGGGGCATGAGCCCTAACTTTACGAGTCCTGAGGGCAAGATAAGAAAGATAAGACTAAAGGACGAGAAATCAGCCAGTCCTACGTTACGATGCGTGATGCTAAATAAGCGAATGGGGTACATAAGCCCGATCGACATAAGGGAAAATGACTTTGCCATCATATTTTACGGTGAATTTAATGTGCGCGATGCAGATACGAGACTCAATTAGCTCGGATCGTAAGATAAAAGCAAATTAAATAATT